TAAAAAAGTTGGACTTCATTCTCATTTTTAGCTATTTTGTAATCACCTCTCTACATGCTATGCAAATGCATATAAATCAGGACAACATTTTAAAAAAAAAATTAAATTATATTATTGTGGATGTTTGATTTTTAGTGTATAATCTATGTTTTTTTTCTGGTTCCAAGATGGCAAACTCCTTTCCCCAAAAGGAGTACTTCCAGGGGCATGGGGACTTCTGGTGGCAAAGTTCAGGGGTTAGGGGCCAGGACTTCCAGTCCCAAGATGGTGACCAAGAGGTGGGGCCACTCTTCAGCTCTTGACAGCTCACCAAAACTCGTTAAGCAGCCCTCCTAACCAAAATAATTGCCCAGGTCTGCTATAGCTCACCTGTAATTTATAGGGGTGCACCGATAGAGATTTTGGGGGCCAATACTGATAGCCGATATTTAAGGAGGCATATCGGCCGATACCGATCCAATATGTGATACAGCTGCCTCCAGCTGGTCAGTGTGGTGTGGGGGGAGGGGTGGGGAAGAGGCATGGAGGGGGCAGATCAACACCCCCTGCAGTGAGGGAAGGGGAGCGGTGTGCCCCCCAGATCTGCGCGGAGTAGTGTGGACTGGAGCCAGTGCTGCACAGCTCTTCTTGGTGGGACCTGGGCTTGGAGTGGGCACAGTCTTGGCTCTTCCCAGCATGTGGGGGGAGGTGGGACATGGAGCCAGGCTGCACCTGGTGGTGCAGGGCTGGGAGCAGAGCTGCAGCAAAATTTAGGGTGGCTGTAGCCCCTTCCAATGCCTGCTGCAAGCCCAGCCCCCGCCAAGAAGAGCCCCATGCAGTGCCGGCTCCAGCCTACTCCCAGGCAGATCCGGGGGCCACACACCGCCCCCCCTGCCCTCCCGGGGTGCAAGCAGATGTGGGATACATCTGCCCCCCATGAGCCGTGCCTCTGTCCTGCGTCCCTGCCCCACCCTGGGCAGTGCCTGCCCTTGTCACCTCCCCACACCCCTTCCCTCTCCCCACCCCTTCCAACTTACTAGCTGGAGGCAGCTCTCCATGCTCCTATCTCTGCTCCACTCCGCTCCATGCTGCACTGCAGCTGCGTGCAACATGGGCGTTTATCAGCCAAATTATCGGCCCCATCGGGCCAATATCCAGTACAGCAAATTTTATTTATATCGGTACCTATCTGATATCGGACCAATGTATCGGTGCACCTCTAGTAATTTAGACCAGGTATTCATGGAATAAGAAATAAAGGGAGATTGCTATAATCCTAATTGAGAAAGGAGAATATACTGTGTTGAGCTGCATGACTGCACAATGGCATATACCAGGGAAATGTAAAGATGGTTGTGTCTCCTTTCCTTTTCACTTATAAGCAAGTGCTTGAGTCATAAGATGGGAAGTATGAGAGTAGGTTTCATTTCTGACTGAGGATATCTGGACTTCAAGTCCGAGAAAGTTTGAAACCAAATTTAAGCATATAACAAGCCTCCAAAAAGAGACTGACAACTCCCTTAAAAAGTTCCTTATCAATGTCTTCAACTAGGCACATAGAATGATTCAGCTTGATAATAGCCACTTTATTAGAACTCTCTAATTTTTTTTATTGTATGAAAAATCAAGCAGACATTTGCCTAGCACTGTAACAGAGTCTCTACCCCAGGCCTGCTTTGTAAATATATGAGCAAATGTACTTCAGTCACTTTAGAAGAGAAGGGAGGACAGTTGCTGGGGAGTGCTCAGTTGTATAATACAACTGTCTTCATGGTCCTTTAGGGCCATTTAACTAATTCTGACCCTGAATGAAGTAGGGTTATAGTTGAAGGAGTTTTGGTATTCTTATCACACATACTTATTGTTTCAGCGCCTTGTTCTTCTCCACTTCCCTCTCTCAAATTGTTTGCAATGGTAAGTTGATGAAATGTCTTCGGTGTAGTTTCTGACAGCTTGTTTATACTCTGCAGGTGCCGTGAAGCAGTAGAAGTAATTTGAAGAAAATTTGAACGAACAAATGGCTTTAGCTGGCTGCCCAGACTCCTTTCTACATCTTCCATACCGGCTTGTAAGTCTCAAACTGTTTAACATTATGTTGTAGTGAAATGGTGGAGATGGGTGGGGGTGGTGATGTTAAACTCTCCGGTTTAAGATACAGATTTAGCTACTTTCTAGAAATACTTTCAGTGTGATTATATGTTGCTGGCAGGGATTTCCAGCATCATTCATGGACCAGTCTCAGTCTCTAATACAGATAAACCAGGAGAGGCCAACCTACAGCATGAGTGCCACAAGTGGCACAGGGAACGTCTGCATGCATGTGACATGTGCAAGGTTGGGGAGAGGACGGGTAACACAGTGACAGATAGGGCAGAAAGCAGAGCAACAGACTGGGTAGG